GGTTGCTTCTCTCATACAGCTGAGAACATACTGTAACATGACAGTTAGGTTTGGTTTTTTCCTTTCCCTTGGTACAAATACATAACTGCATGACCAAAAAAACCCATAAACTTAATCCTTTTTACATATAAAATAGTGCTTAAATAATGGCCCTGTAATAAAGTGACAGCAGCCCACTGGTCTTACTGGTTAAGCATAAAACTCAGCTTAACTTTTACCTTTTCAGAACCCAAAGGGAAAATGCAAGACCTGTAATGTACTTTAGAGGTGCTATGTACATCCTTCATCTGTGAATATAAATGGAGTCAACCACCATTTCAGAAATATGTAGCAAGAGGCATTGTTCTCCATCAAACTCTTAGATGATTTTACGTCTCAATGTCTGCATCTCTTCCGTGTTTAGTACAAAGCTAATTAAAATAAAAGGTGGTACAGGGCCAGTTTGCTGGCTCTGTTTGTAGTATTGCCCGTAAAAATGTAACCCTGATGCCTCACCAGACAGAGGAGCTCCATGGGAAAGTCCATGGAGTTAAATGGAAACCTGATGTTGGATGTGTTTGTGTGAGGTCCCCAGTGCACCAGGTCCCCAGTGACCGTGTTTAAGGCACAGGGATGCCTAGAGCAGAGTTAGCTCAGATGGAAAAAAAGAACTGAGGGAAATGACATTATCATCTGTGTGCTTCTCCCTCACTTCCGTGGCTTTTCCTTTCCTTTAGTGCAGTCTGTTCTGATTTGTAGGACACACCAGAGGAGTCCTGTCCTGGATGCCTGCTTGTTGCGTTACGCGCAGGACTAAGAGTTTACCAGCTTTCAGTCTCTGTAACAGACCCTGCCCCACAAAATTAGGGGACACTGCCCCGTTTCATCTCCAGAGCTGCCAAGAGCTGGTGTAGACGCTGGAAGTCAAAAGATCAACTTTGGCTGAGAAGCCATTCATAGGACTTTTGCCTACATAGTAACGTAGAAAACATATGTTTTAACAGTAAAAAATTATTTTCCCTATGCTACATCCCAACCCTTTGCCATGTTCCTAATGAAAGTGACTTAGTACAGTGCATTTAAAAGGTATTGTCTCCCCTTCTCTGAGAGCGTTGACAACGTCAGCTGTTGGCCACCAAACTAAAGAGCTGGGTCATCGCGATGCCTTTGAAACTGGTCTGTGTCACTGAATTTCCTTCCTAGTTTTCCAAAGGGTGAGGCCATGCCATGGGCACAGTAACTTCAGGTTATCTCTGCTCTTCGTTAATCGGTAGAACTTTGTTTGCCTTCAAAACCTTAAGGAGAAGACAGCAACTACGTCTCCCGGGAATTACTCCCTAAAGGGGAAATAGACACTTGCTTTTCAGCCTGTCTCTGAGGGGTGGAAGACTCTGAAAGGCTGAAATGATCACTAGGCATCTTAGCAAACAGGCTGCTGCCTCAAAGCCCAATTCTTTCCTCGCATCCCCCTGGTTTTTCACTCGACGATGCAGCAACATTGGAGGAGGAAACTTGTGGCCTTGGGTAACGTTCTGTAGAAGAACATAGAGAGGGAGATTGTCCCAAAATGATGGCGTTCAGTAGCTGAGATGCAATTGTCAGTCGAGGACTTGCCAAGGAGGAAAGAGCATCACAGCAATTTTGAGGGGGCAACCCACCAACATTACAAGGAGAAGGTTTTAAAATGGGCTGATGAGTTATTTTACTTTTTCCTGTCCCTTTTCCCTTGTGCCAGGCACGTTAGTGAACACCCGCGGCGTGCGGCACGCACGGTACCCAGTGTGAGTTTATTTTTGTACCAAACAAACACCTCACTCGACTTTCATCACTTTCCCTAAGCATACTTTAAACACCATACTTAGCCTATGTATATGATAAACGCCTTCATTTATAAGTAATATATTTGAGTTGCATTATATATATATGTATATGTATATTCACAGCGATGGATTGCCTCTGTGTTCCCACTTACTGTCCTTTCCTCTTTGTCTCCTTTTTTAATATATATGAGACGACAGCGATATTTCCGTAAGGGGAAACCATATTTAAGAGGAGTGTCTGAAGATGGGTGTTGTTAAGACACAGACGATCCGTAGCTTCTCACCGTGCTGCATTACCCACAGCAAACTCTTATTTAACAACAGGACCACAAGCGAATATTTCTGTAAATAGGTACTTTCGTGTTGATATTTTGTGGCACACATATAACTTTTTCTTTTTAGAGTTCCATGGCATTATTACTTCATTTTCTTATTTGTAATGTAATGTTTTTAGGTCGAGGTAGACTTGAATTAATGTCATAATTGTCAGTATTATTAAACTTTATGTCAACTGTACTGTTAACTCATCCGTCCCATAGTTTTAGAACTCGACTAGCTATCTGGCATTGTTGCAAGTGCCTTAAATCCATGGCATCCTATTAAAAAAAAGAAAAAAATTTACAAATTTGGTGTTATGCTGCATGACAAAGACAAACACACCTCAAAATGTCGTCCTTTCTTAGCTTGCTGCATTTTACAGTTCTTTCTCCTACCAGTTTCTAAGCCTTTATTATATAATATTGATGAATTACAGAAATGATGAAGTCGTTCTCTTATTTCTGTTCAATGTACCAGAGCTGTGTATCCGTTAATGAGATACAGAGTCATTTCTGTGAAATGTATAAATGTTATGTGCGGGTCAAATTAATATATGACATCCTATCAGTCCGTAGACAGGTATTCCTGTTTTGCTCAGCTGTGCAAATCCAGCCCATCCTGCGCTCCAGCACCCACCTCCCGAATCACACAGATCCCTTTACAAATCTCCCACCTGCCAACAACAAGAAAAAAAAAAAAACCAACCCCAAAACAAAACCCCCGACCAGGGACTGGGGGAGCAAACCCCACCTGCGGCTTGTTTTGACCCGAAACCCCAAGGCGAAGGCGGAGATCGTTTGGCACCGCTCAAGAAAATAGGATCCGTGCTTTTTCCACACCGTCTTCCCCCCCATCCCGTCCCGTGTCCCCCCCAACCCCTTCCATAGTCAAAGCCACCGCAGAGCCCACCTGGGAGGATGGAAGCTCCTCATCCTCTACAGCTCCTGGCCACAGGAACCAGCCGTAACGCTGAGACTGGGGCAGTTTTAGGGCTTTAACCGGCGGCAAAAAGGGGAAATTTTCATTTGGAGTTACCTATCGAGCCCCAATTCACACTGTTTTTAGACTAGCCCTTCATTTTATATTCTTAATTTCTCCGGTTTCCTTCTTACATGGAAGAGGTTTTGTTTGTCAGACAGATGTCAGTCATCCACCGGTCGTCAGCCGGTTGCACTCTTTTGATGTAGATTTAAGAACTTTTTTTTCATAAACTTTAACCGCTTTTGTTTTGCTCTGTATTTTCCCTGCAGCTGTAATTGCCGAGTGCCTGTTGTATACTTTATAGAGTTGAAATAAAAATAATTACTTTTGAATGGCGCGTCGGTGGCTTTTATTCCACGGCAGAAGCCAAGTTGGGGACAGTTCTTCTGGTGAGCGATTGAACTGGGGGTTTTCTTCTCTTTCGTGACGATACGCAGGAAGAGAAAAACCAAAGAAAATCTGTGGTGCTTCAGCAAGAGATCACCAGTGGGCTTGGGGTCTTCTGCAGGGTGCAAAGACAAACGGCCACCGTTCATGCAGATTTAGTGCCTGTTTGAGCCCCAGCGTCTCCCCAGGCAGGTTGGAGCAGGGCTGGTCCCAGGTGACCCCCCCAGCTCACTTCCAACCCCAATTATTATCCCACGAATGTACTAAGCAGCGAGCACGTTCGCAGCACATTTACTCCTCAGGGATGAAGGATTCATTTCGCAGCACATTTACTCCTCAGGGATGAAGAATTCATCCATGGCCTCAAGTTGCGCCAGGGGAGGTTCAGGCTGGATATTAGGAAAAATTTTTTCACTGAAAGGGTTCTCAGCCATTGGAATGGGCTGCCCAGGGAGGTGGTTGAGGCACCATCCCTGGAGGTGTTCAAAAGACGGGTTGATGAAGTGCTGGGAGGTATGGTTTAGTGATGGTGTTCCTTGTTTCTTGTGGGGGTGTCTATTTTTGTCAGTTGGGTTGATGGTTGGACAAGATGATCTTTAAGGTCCCTTCCAACCTAGAAGATTCTGTGATTCTGTGATTCTGTGATTCTGTGATTCTGTGACAAAGATGGTGAGGGGTCTGGAGCACAAGTCTTATGAGGAGAGGCTGAGGGAGCTGGGGTTATTCAGCCTGGAGAAGAGGAGGCTGAGGGGAGACCTTATTGCTCTCTACAACTCCCTGAAAGGAGGGTGTAGAGAGGTGGGGGTCGGTCTCTTTTCTCAAGTCACAGGCGACAGGACAAGAGGAAATGGCCTCAAGTTGCGCCAGGGGAGGTTCAGGCTGGATATTAGGAACAATTTTTTCACTGAAAGGGTCATCAGACATTGGAATGGGCTGCCCAGGGAGGGGGTTGAGGCACCATCCCTGGAGGTGTTCAAAAGACGGGTTGATGTAGTGCTGGGAGGTATGGTTTAGTGATGGTGTTGCTTTTTGTTTGTTGTGGGGGTGTCTATTTTTGTCAAAATTAGGTTGACGGTTGGACAAGATGATCTTTAAGGTTCCTTCCAACCTAGAAGATTCTGTGATTTAATATAAGCGGGTCTGGGGCACCCAGCTGGAAAGGGACCTCCTTCCCACCACAAGCTGCATCGTCCCCGGGTGAGATGTGGCTCCAAACACCACCCCCGTCACCCCACTTGGGAGCAGAGCCACGGGGTGTCCTGCCCACACCAGCTCTGTGCACAGGGCGACAGCTACATCTCAGGGCAGGGATGCCAATGGAGAGAATTAAATCCCCATGGATTTAAATCCATCCCAGGGAAACCACTCTGGCCCTCAGCCTCAGCACGGCCCAGGGTAAGGGCGGCCGGCAGCGCTACACAGGCACGGAAAGATGAGGAAAAAGCGGGGAAAGGAGCAAAAAGGCATCCTCCCCAGAGGGATATGGAATTGGTAACTGCTGGGAAACTCCGCAGAATGGTTTTACAGGAGGCAGCCATCATGGGTACAAGTTAATCATAGAATCATAGAATCATTGAGGTTGGAAGAGACCCTTGGGATCATCGAGTCCAACCATCTCCCCTACTCTACAAAGTCCTCCCCTACACCATGTCCCTCAGTACCACATCTAAACGTCCCTTAAACACATCCAGGGATGGTGACTCCACCCCCTCCCTGGGCAGCCTGTTCCAATGCCCGACCACTCTTTCCGTGAAAAATTCCTTCCTAATGTTCAAATCATCCAACCCCAAACCCCAGCCTGACACAGCCCAGGCCTGAAACTGCAGGGGGAAGGTGGGGATTTGGGGGCAAGGGGTGGACCTCATCCTTGCAGCCTAAAAATAGCAAGGCCGGGGGTTTCTGCCAGCTGCTGACTCAGCTCCCCCCTCCGCATCCCCCCGCTCCCCAAAACTCCCCCAGCCATTTATGAGCCTGAATGATTCTATGATTCTACGGCTTGAGCCTTTGGGGGCTGAAATGCCCCGTAGCAGGTCCCAGCAGAGCAGGGAGCTGGGTGATGGGTGGGTGATGGGGTTTACTGGTGGGACGGCTACGTCGGAAAGATCCCACCCCGCCGGGAATAACTACTTGGGATTTATGGATTTTAGGCTTTTTTCCTTTTTTTTTTTTTTTTTTCTTGCATGCGTTAGCACCAACAAGCTTCCATCCAGCTGCCAGCCCCACAGCAAACACCTATTTC